GCAAGTGATACTTTAGCAGCTTCCATATGTCGCCAGGCACATTAATTAAGCATGTGGGACATGGTAAATACATTGCCACACGCTGCTAGCTAGGCTGAATAAATAATGTATATAAATGGAGCACATACATAATATACATACAGCATACATAATATACATACAGTTTGATCGCTCCTGCTCTCTTGCTTGCAGGGTGAGAGATAGGGCATATTGAGCTGTGAAACTATCTCCTACTCCTATTACCCACGCCTCTTTCATTACTTCTAGGAATCGTTGTAAGGCTATTCTTCGTAGGGCCAAGCGGAATTTTATTAAAAGAAAGACCGCTGCCCTGACTAATTATTACTCTAGTAAATCCTTTTGGTCCTTAACTAAAAACATCTGTAACAACTTCTGCTCTCCTTCTTTTTCTCCCCTCTTCCGACCCGATAACCCTTATAGCCAACTCTCCCCCTGACAAAGCCAACCTCTTTGGCACCTTATTCTCCACTAATTCCACCTTAGACGATTCCCACTCTATCCCACCTACCCCTGCACCTCCTACTGAACCTATGCACTTTCCTATAATCTTCATTCGCAGGTTTGCCGGTGTGTTATCCAGGTTGGATGTGAGTAAGGCTCATGGACCGGACGAAATACCCCCTCGTATTCTGAGGGAGTGTGCTGAAGCCCTGGCCCCTGTGCTTGCTCGCCTCTTTCGCCTCTGCCTCAAAACCCAAACTTTACCTTCTTCTTGGAAGCATACCTTGGTTTAGCCCATCCCGAAGAAGGCTGACCATTCTAATCCTTCTAACTATCGCCCCATTGCCCTAACTTCATCCCTCTCTAAGATTTTCGAAACTATCTTGAACTCCCATTTTCTCCGTCACCTTGAACGCCTTTCTCTTTTATCGGATCACCAGTATGGCTTTCGCCAGGCGAGATCTACTGGTAATCTGCTCTCCTATTGCACCCATCTATGGTCATCCTCTCTAAGGGATTATGGGGAAACTTTCGTCGTGGCCCTCGACATATCCAAAGCATTTGACAGGGTATGGCACAAGTCTTTGCTATATAAACTTTCCTTGTTTGGTTTCTCTCCCCCACTTTGTTTTCTCATCTCTAGCTTCCTTGAGAACCGATCCATGGTAGTTGTTGTCGAGGGATCAATCTCTCGCTCTTTC